AACAAAACTTAAAGGAAGTATATGTCTCAAAATCATTTTGCTATAAGATAAGTTATCATTTTGGATCACGCGGGGTCCAGCTGCGCTTACCTGCAGTCGTGAATGCAGTGATGGACAGATATCTTTCCTCATTCGACTGTTTGGATTTCATGTGATTTCTCATTGTGTTGATGATATTATAACTCAGATTAATTAATTAATTCGATCAAAAGTAATTCCATTTAGTAAGATCGTTTTCAAGTAATTCCAAACTTCGCGAGGCAGACGACAACATTATGTGATCAAATACACACAGCTTGTTAACACACTCCACAGCGCCACCCAGTGCATTTAATTATAACTGCGAGTTAGTGCTTGGGATTTATCATGGATTCACTGCATTTACGGCCAGCAAAGCAATGTAGTAAAATTCGAATAGTATTTTATTTTTCGAATAATAATTACAGATCGAATATTCGAATATTCGTGCACATCCCTAGTTTAAACCCCATTTACACCTGTATTTAGTGCCGTCCACTTGTGATCCGATCGACCAAAACACATTTTTGGGGCCTTGCTTTTCTCAAATTGCCAGATTCTTGCCGCTTGTGTTTGTCATAAAAGGTGCAAAATGTCGCACTTGCAGTTTTTGTCGGCCTCTTGATCCATGTCTCATCAACACAAACCCAAACTGGGCAGAACAAGTCGGTGCAACCAAGTATCTGTGTAATGAGTGGGATCATGTGCAATAGCATTAAGATAAACCCCTTCATGCTTATGCCTAGTGGATCACGTTATCAGGGCTTATGTTACTATATTATCCCTTGCATAAATGATCCACTGGAATCATATCTCATAAGTGTGTAAGTCTCTTGAGCGATAACTCTTGAACTCGTCTCAAGTGAGTTTAATGTTCTTCACTCTTACAAATAAAGCTCAAGTAGGGGTTTTCTTGATGCCTAAGAAGAACCATTTTTGGTTCCCCAAAGAACCTTTCAGTTATTAAAAGAAGAAATTATTGTATTAGTAGTGTAGAAGTAAGCCTGGCTGTCACAATAACTAGGCTACTTTTTGTTGTGCGACATATTGTCCCAGAAATAATTGCGATAAACGATATTATTGTCATTTTAAGACCATTTTATGCCACTGAATATATAATCATAATACAACAGCATAATAATGCAAGTAGCCCTATACACACTTTCAAATGACAACAACCTTTGGTAACACTTTATTATACAGTGTCCTTGTTACATACAGTATGTTACATGTACTTACCATAGTAATAACAGTAAATTATGCATAACTACATCCAACTAACCCTCAACCAAATCCTACCCTAACCCTATAGTAAGTACATGTAGTTGCTTAATATTACTCAGTACTTAAATACATAATTACACTGTAACAATGACACCTTAAAATAAAGTGTAACCCAACCTTTTAATTCTTTAGATCATGGAAATTAAGAGTCAAAAAATTAAATATCCTAATAAAAAAAACTTGAATAAATAGTAAATAAACACTTTCTGAAAAAAACACACACTTGCAAATGCACAAAAGGCACTTATGAAGATTTTGCATTACAGATTTTTCTTTGTTTCTTTTCTCAGTAAAGTAAGGGTTCACACTATTGCTGGTAAACACAAACCCTGTAGCAGTGAGATGTTCATATGAGCAAAGGCACAGATGCCTCAACAGAGAAAAGCATATTTTATTAGTGTGCACCGTTTTGCGCTGTGATGTTTATATTTGCACCAGAACAGTGGATTGCGGCTTTGAAATCAAGTGCATTTGGACTTATTCTGTATAGTTGTCAAGAAAATCCTATAACGCCCCAAAGACGCCTGGTTTCCCCTGTCGATGTGTATTTAACTGACAGGGCGAACAGCAACATGTTGGTGACATTCATTACCATGTAAACATAATGGGCGATATATTATATATCGTACGTCACACGCAGGCTCACTATTGGCCGACGCTGGTCATGTGTGTGATGCGTGTGACGTACAACACAGAAGCTTTGCGTAGTTTCACTACGTGAAATATCATGGCCCACAGAGAAGGAAATGAATAGTTGAATAAAGTCGTTATTTTTGTTTGTTTTTTGCGCATTAAGTATTCTCGTCGCTTGATTGAGCCACTGTCGTCACTCGGACTATTTTAACGATGTCTTTAACTTTTATGGGCCGGCCAGTTTCGATCCCTTAGAAGCCTATGGAGGAGTGATCCAGCTCTCAGATTTACATTTACATTTACATTTAGTCATTTAGCAGACGCTTTTAACCAAAGCGACTTACAACTGAGGACATCAGATTTAATCAGAAATATCTTAATTTGTGTCCCGAAGATGAACGAAAGTCTTACGGGGTTGAACAACATGAGGGAGAGTAATTACTGACAGAGTTTTCATTTTTGGGTGAACTATCCCTTTAATAATCTAAAAAAGCTTTTTCCACTATAAAGAACCTTTTGTGGAAATGGAAAGATTCTGTGATGAAAAGATACCATCGATGCCAATAAATAACCTTCATTTTTAAGAGTGAGTTTTAGGAAACATACGTCTAGGGTCACTGCATACTGTGCACTATATACTGCATGCATACTCATATTTCATAACCGTATATGAATAACTTGTAAGATTTGCATGATAAAATCCTCGTAACAATTCGCACTAACACTTTTTAAGTAAATATTACTGTAATGTCTGTACAACTTGTCTGTTATTATCAAGTAAAATCTACTTACTATTGAACTTAACATTCATTTGACATTTAATTGACACTTTACATTTAATTGAATTATATTACTTAATTATATTTAATTTAACATATAGAATTAAGTAACATCTACTTAACTAAGTTAAGTAAATTTAACCAAATTTATTTTTTACTCATTCAATATAACACTGAATTAAACCACACTTTCAAAGTATGCTTTACTTCAAAACATCAAAGTAAGTAATACAATAGATATTGTATTTATTCCACACTGAATCTTCATAATAGAAATAACATGGCACTTGAACACAGAGACCTCAATACTTGGTCCACAATGACAGTAACATCGTTTTTGAGTATAAATGTGTCATTTTGAGTATAAAATGAATCCAGATGTTACAAAATGGCAAGTTACCAAACCTAACAAGAAAAAGCAATGATAAAACGGTGTAAATACAGCTGGAAAACATTAAAAAATCAACCTTACTAATTATTCATGCCCCAGTGCATGATGGGAACACCAGTATTAGAAAAGTTGAGTAGGTTTTCCTTAATCTTATATCATTGAGATTTACACTTTATTTTCCACAACCTTGAATTGAGTGCTAATATAGGATTTACTTTTATTCTTTCTTGAACTACCTTTTTCATGTAGAAAGTATTTGTTTTTTCTGTAGCATTTACTTCACCACCGAATCATTTTTATCAGCGTATGCATTGATTGACAGTATTTCGAGCACATCCACATCACCACCCTGCTTGGGTTCAGACCTTTTATCTGAAGAAGACCTAACATGTTATACGCTTATAATCTTAATTAATCCTGTGGTTTCATTTTATGATGATTCATGACTGTTCATTAATAATTAACGACGGTGTCATTGAAATGCTAATGAATCAGCAGGAGGGTGTCATAATGTAGGCGCTTATACATTGGCGTTCTTGGCAGATGTTTCCTCACGATTGATAAGAAAACATGCACTTTATCTCTTTACGCTTTAACTGTCTACGTATAAAGTATGTTAGGCAGCAACAGAAGACGTCACTCGCACCTATTTTTGGGTACTTTTTGGTATTGAACAAAATGTACAGTTAATTTCTCTCGGGTTGTCCACCATCTTGGGTGAAACTTTTCATTAATGTTGTTGCAGTGCATTCTGGGATGGGTCTTTATGGATTTATGCAATGCTGTATTTCGATTTTTGACTTAAAGAATGATTCAAGGCAGCATGTCAATTTAGTCGACCTTTTAAATCAGCCTTCGAAATTGCTAGATCTCACAAACCTCACAAAATCAAGTAAAAAAAGGAAACTGATAAAGAATTGCATAAAAAATTAAATTAACATTTTTTGTTTTGGCCCATTAAGATTTTGTTTTGCATTTTTTTATTTTGTAATTTTCAATATTGATTCACATTTTTGTAATTCATGAGTTGAAGTCTTCAGAAATTTCTTCCATTATGTATAAATATATATATATATATATATTTTAAATTGCAATAAAAAAAACATTTAATTCTTTTTAAAACTAGAAATACAATTATAACACGTATACATTTTATTTATTTTTATTTACTTATTTTAAATTTAAGGGGGAAGGTGCTTAATTGTCATTAAAATGTAAAGAAAAATTATATTAAAAAATAATTTAAAAAATAAATATTAATTGTCCTAAAGAGTTTAATTTATGGTTCATTTTAGGGGGCAAAAATTAACACAGACATTTCTTTATTTCGTGATTTTCAATATTGATTCCTCTTTATTGTAATTCATGAGTTTAAAATTAAGCCATCAGAAATTTCTACCATTATGTATAGATATTTTTTAAAATTAGAATATGATTATCACACACACACACACACATATATATATATATATATATATATATATATATATATATATATATATATATATATATATATATATATATATATATAATGTTTTAACATTTTAAGGGGAAGGTGCTTAATTGTCATTAGAATGTCAAAAAAGCTTTATTTGTTTGATGATTTAATTTTTTTTTTTTAATTAGGGGGAAGGTGCTTTAGTTTTCATTAATGTCAAACAAAAATATTTACAAATCTCATTGATTGCAACAAATCTTAATTGTCCCAAAGTTATTTTTTTCATTCAAAATATATTTTCTTACACGCACATAAATGTAGCGGGTCAAAAAAATATAACCCAGGCATGTTTTGGTGAGATGGAGAGTAAAGATGAACAAGTGCGTATGTGAGAAAGAGCGAGAGAGAGCGAGAACGCGAGTGTGAGGAGGGAGGGGTGGAGCGAGCAGAGAGAGAGCAGTTGGAGGCAGGAGCGTTGGATTAGACTCAGAGAAAACGGGATGATGATGGTTGGACAGAGAAACACAGCAAGCGACTGATATAAACGCACGTGACGGACACACACACACACACACACGCACACATACGACTGTTACAACATGGGGGCGGTTGTCGGAACACTGAGCTTACAGACGAGACAGCGACGACCATCAAGAGGTAAGACGAGGACTCAATCTGTCTGTCTGTCTGTCTGTCTCTCACGCACACAGACAGGTAGACCGAGAACTTCAAATATAGCAGACTCAAACTGCGTGTGCATCCTTGAATAACATGCCTGAATGTGTGTGTTGTATGTGCATCCTTGAATAGCATGCATGCATGTGTGTGTTTGTATGTGCATCCTTGAGTTGCATGCATGGATGTGATGTGTGTGTTTTCAGTAATTAGATGACTCACACACATCCTCTCTTAGCTGTGCAACAAGTGCCGTTTGACTGACGCCAGTGTTTCTGCTCTTTAATAAAGTAAACGCTGAAACACGCACGCATTACGTGACTCATGAAGCTGCGTAGTGTTTTTACCGTGAAGCGAGTCAACAGCTTGCAGAAGAGCAAGAGAGCGTGCCTGATGCGTGTGTGCGCGCGCGCGTGCGTGTGTGTGTGTGTGTGTTTTGATGTCGGGTCATGTATGCGTTTGAAACTCTACTCGCACACCCGCTCCGTTCCCGCCTGTTACCTTGGAAGCACTGTTGTCATGGCAACGGGGCGATGGCAAATTGGTGTGTTATTGTGTGTGCACGTCAGAAGGGTCCCGACCCATCGCTCATGTCCGAGAACCTGCAAGAGAGAGAGAGAGAGAGACATCAGCACCTGTTGTTTTGGCTGTCTTCGGTGTTCACACAAACACAGTGATCTAAACGCGGAAGATGCACATTAGTTCACTTAAAAATTATAATGCTGTCATCGTTTAGGCTACTCCACCTCAAGTTGTTCCGAACCTGTATGAATTTCTTTCTTCTGCTGAACACAAAACTAGATATTATAATGTGGCTATCCAAACAGTTGCTCCATTGACTTCCAATGAAGGAAAGAAATACTATGGAAGTCAATGGAAATAACGTTTGGTTACACACATTCTTATAAATATCTTCCTTTGTGTTCAGTCGAAGAAGGAGATTCATACAGGTTTGAAACAACTTGAGGGCCGAATTTTCATTTTTAAGTGAGCTATTCCTTTCAATTTTTCTAAAGCTGATTGGAAATAGTTATATGATATTAGGGCTGCACAATATTGAAGTAAAGTGCGTTAAATAATGCTATATTCGATATGCGATCCGATATTGCTTTAAGTGTGTAAAATAAATGTAAACTTATGTATTTAATAACTGAAAATGGTAGACTATGTGTTCCAACATCCATGTTTCACATTCTTTTACTGTAGCATTATGTAAAAAGTAAGCGGTTTAGGGTTTCAGGTAGGCCTACATTAGGTTTATTTAACAACAAAAACTGAATAATCAAATGTAAAAATATGTATATGGATTAAATATTGATTTTTATTAAAGCTACAAAAGTTAGTCAGTCAAGAGCAGTGAGTGATTTAGTCTATTTTTTATTTATTAACATACAGCACAGACCGAAGCAGGTTTATTAGGCTGCTGTCACTTTAAAGGGTTAGTTCACCCAAAAATGAAAACTCTGTCAGTAATTACTCTCCCTCATGTTGTTCAACCCCGTAAGACTTTCGTTCATCTTCGGGACACAAATTAAGATATTTGTGATTAAATCTGAGAGCTGGATCACTCCTCCATAGGCTTCTAAGGGATCGAAACTGGCCGGCCCAAAAGTTATGAAAGACATCGTTAAAATAGTCCGAGTGACGACAGCGGCTCAACCTTAAGTTTATCAAGCGACGAGAATACTTTTTGTGCGCAAAAAAACAAACAAAAATAACGACTTTATTCAACTATTCATTTCCTTCTCTGTGGGCCTCGAGTGAGTTCACGTAGTGTAACAGCGCAGCGCTTCTGTGTTGTACGTCACACGCAGGCTCACTATTGGCCGACGCTGGTCATGTGTGTGTGTGTGTGTGTGTGTGTGTGTGTGTGTGTGTGTGTGTGTGTGTGACGTACAACACAAAGCGCTGCGCTGTTACACTACGTGAAATCTCTAAAGCCCACAGAGAAGGAAATGAAGAGTTGAATAAAGTCGTTATTTTTGTTTGTTTTTTGCGCACAGAAAGTATTCTCGTCGCTTGATAAACTTAAGGTTGAGCCGCTGTCGTCACTCGGACTATTTTAACAATGTCTTTAACTTCTCTGGGCCGGCAAGTTTTCATCCCTTAGAAGCCTATGGAGGAGTCAAAAATATCTTAATTTGTGTCCCGAAGATGAACGAAAGTCTTTCGGGGTTGAACAACATGAGGGAGAGTAATTACTGACAGAGTTTACATTTTTGGGTGAACTAACCCTTTAAGAGCTGCAGAGCTTTCTCAACTTTCTCAACTCTTTACTCCACTCAAGACATAACTGACTGTGTTTACGTGAGTACTCACCAAGATGGTTGTTTTGACAATTGTGTGTGTATTTGGCCATATTTATATGGCCGAATACATATAACTTATATATGTATTATTCATATACTTATAAGCTGCGGAAGAGAGGTGAACGCAGGATTGCGCGCTGTCCGAGAGGCGGTTTACATGTTCACACAGAACATGTTTTTCCATTCCACTGCTCTACTTTTCCATTATTTGCCAATGCTATCGCAGCGGTCAAGTTAAAATAAGTTCAACTTTTTTGCGATATTTCGCTAATTCCGATATTTTGTGCAGCCCTTTAAAAAGGTTTTTAATCACGATCCAAATTTAGTTTTAGATCTTTTAGGAAAAATGGGTTTTGAAATATCCTTAATAAGAACATTGAACAATCAATTAAAGGAATTAAGAGACTAATTACAAGAAATAGGACAAAGAACTACAATACAACAAAAGCCGCTTTCCGACCGGAGGGACTTTTGCAGTTCCTAGAACCCTTTTTTTCGCGTGTTCCGACCCGACTAAGTTGGGGATTTTTTAGTTCCTCAGACCGTAGTTCCTATAACTCTTTCAGTACCTAGTCTAGAGCGAGGACTTTTTTAGTTCCCTTTCCCTAGGTCTACGTTGATTGGTTCAACTTATAAGTCACGCCCACTGTCAACACATTTTCTTCACTGTCTGTTGCAATTCGCCTATGTAGGCTATGCTAACTCATAACTTAAGACAAACATAACGCATTCAACCAGCTAATTGCTAATGCTTGCTAAACTTACCCGTCGTTTTGTTTGCCTCCTGCGCTCTGCTCTTCTATCTTCTTCCATCATATTATTTAAGATCATATTACGCTGGAGCCTTCGTCTTCTGTGTTTCTCTGTACAGAACTCAAGATCTTTAAACGCCGCCGTTCGTACTCGTTATTAAGGTCCCGGCAAGGCAGAACAGGAACATTCCGATAGCCTCCTCCACGCTGGTTTGTTGTTGTTGTATGTGGCGCCGCCGCCGCCGTGCTTGCGTCACTCCCTTACCCCTCCTACCAGTTCCTATGGCCACTTGGCCAGTGCGAACGCAAACAGCAAAACCGAGTTTGGGGGAGAGTAGTTCTTAGAACTGTTTAGAAGTGGACAGTTCCTATAACTAAGTTCCTGTAACTACTTGGTCGGAAAGCGGCTATTGACACAAATGAAATAGACCGACCTTAAAAAAGTTGAAGCACTAGCCTAGATATAAGAAATAGGCTACTGCATAAATTGTATAAAGGACTCATATGTATAAAAACCACTGCATGATCTTCACTGTGTTGTGCAAAAGTGATTCGGTCAAGAGCAGAGAGAGATTTTCTCTCTTTTGTTGTGATTAACATTAATGAAACTGTCACTTTATGCACGGATCCAATATACTGATACACATGCATTTTCTTTCTCAACTGTTTACATTCACTTAAGACATCTCTGTGTTTACGAGAAAACTTGCAAAGACGGGCATTTTGATATGTATTAGCTCGTACAAGCCCAATTACGCGGCAAAACGCGCTCAGTTAAGTACTCTTTCAGACAGTGCACGCATTTAGCAAAATTACTTGTTTTTAAACCACAATGCTTAAAAAGGCATGTAAAGCTTTTGTGACCGAGTAGAGTAAGCAGGAGACGAAAGTTCAAAATCTCTACCGGTTAATCGTGTCTACCGGCGTATCGCCCACCCTTAGTCCAGATGTCAGAAGAACCATAAAAACATTACAATTTACAGACATAAGTACAGACAAAATTGAAAAAAAAAACAAGAAAATAAAGGGAAGTAGCAGGCATTAGATATGAAAAAGTTAGCAGCAGATAAAAATGAGTACTAATAATTTCAATTGAATGCAGTAAATGAATGAAAATTGTTCACGTTTCTGACAGTTCAAGAGCCAAGCCTTTATCAGCGAGTAAAGATGTTGTAGGAAGTACGGTTTTCTTATTTCAATTGGTATAATAGCTGGGTTTCAGTCACGTGATTATGATGACACGCGAAATTCAGATGGAGGGCAGGGAGTGAAGAGCGCAATGGACGAGATGGAGGAAAGTCCGTACTGTACTTTACACGCTATTACAAGAGAAAGATATAAACAAAAAATCAAACATATGTTGCCGACGTTTAACGCCTCGTGAATAAACAAAGGGCGCCAATGTGAGTGTGCACACCGACGCGAAAAACACCACGCGTAAAAGCGTCATTTTTTAAAAAACGCCTCTGGTTCGTTTTTTTGGTTTGATGCCCCGCTTCAAAAACTATCCGACCAATGAGATTGGCGCTTTAGCTCACGCGTCTGGAGCTTCTGAAGTTACAGTAAAACACAACTTGGGGGCGCTCAAACACAAAACGGTCTTGCCGAGCACACATACGTAACGGCGAAGAAGATAAACGCCAAGTAGCGTCGGAAGAAATAAGACGAGGAAGATGCGAGGCAAGATGAATGTAGAGCTGCTGGTCTCGTTGCTGTCGGAACATAAAGAACTATATGACAAACGCGACAGCGACTACATCTAAATCTTAATAAAAGAGAATGTTTTGGAGTGGTATTGCAGAGCAAATGGGCGCCATCTAATGTCAGGGAATGAATTTGCATGTCCACTCGGCTCATTGTCAGCGAAAATCGCTTCAGTGTGAACACAAAAAACGAATAACGCGTGCCGATATTCGTCCCG